AAAAAAAAAAAAAAAAAGTACCTTGACCTTTGCCTTCCTTCTTCATTCTCAATGTGTTGTAGGTTTTGTTTGGTTAGTTTTAGATTAACCCCCCCTCCCCCCCAGCATTTTCTTTTTACCATAGCATGTTACACCTTGTATATAAGAGGGAAAGAAAAGCTTTCAGTAGAGCAAGACATGGAAACTCACATTGGGGGCATTGAAGCTCTGTTTTGTAACTGTAGAGCACATCAGCATCTCTTTCATCCAACAGCCTCTTTGGGCTTTTTGTTCTGTGCCTTAGCCTTGGCTATCTTTTTTACTGTTTCTAGGACTCAAAAGAACCAAAAGACAGTAAAAATCCACATACTTCTGTATGACCAGATTTGTATTTTGTGAGAAATACTAGTTCTGGGCACTTAGTATTTGCTCAGTATTTTTTGAAGTGACTGATAGACTCTTTCTCTTGCTCAAAAATCTGACTTTAAGTTTCTTGTGAATATATCAGATCTTATTCCAAGGAGAATTCTATATTCACAAATGTTTTATTCTTTCCCATGGTATCCAAATACCATTTCTGGATAGGGGATAAAAAAGCAGGCTGCTAAATTTCCGGGGCCAGAAGTTTTTAGTGTGCCACAGGCAAAAGTCAAAGCTTTGGATAGGGGAGAATATTTTAGATCACTAAATATTGTGCTATGGATTTATTTTATATTTACTGAATCACCTGTAAGGTCTTTGCTGGTGAGGGTACTGGGGGGAAACAGACATGGCCCCTTTGCACTTAGGATGATGGCCTCCACCTGTATGTCAAACAGAACTTTTCCTGCCACCACCATTTTTACCCTAGTTTGGAAACTCCCCGACCCCCACCACCATATTCTGATAGTTGCCAAAAGCTTTTAACTCACTACAGATGACTTACATCATCTTTGGGTTGTCTCATTTTGAGGTTCATTCCTGTTACATCAAGCAACTGAGTCTGTACTTTAAGGAAATAAGCTTCAGTATTTTCTATGCAATACAAAAGTATTTGGAACGGGTCAGCCAGCTGGTGCTGTATGTGGTGTGATTGTTAAGTACTGTAACCCAGACAAATCTTGAACTGCACCAATACATTAAAATAGTGCAATACAGTATTAAATCCAGATAATCTATAGCTAATGATGACATTTGAGATACTAGGTTGTGTAACTTGCCCAGTCAGCAAGTACCTCCTAGAGGAGGATTCATCCTTGATAGATGTTCTGTCATTTATGAGCTGGCTTCTCTTAGAAGTCCCAAATTACCTTTGGGAGCTGTGATTCTAAACATACTGGGAAGCTGGGTATTCTAAAGCTGCTCCATGGAATGAAAAGCAAATTGGGATCAAGCATTCTGATTACGTTTTAGGAATGATGGAAGGAAATGTGTCAGCTTACAACCACACTATGTTTATTCTGCTTCATTCATTCATTTCTTTTCCGTGCTGACTATGAGCAAGGCATCATGCTAGGCAGATGTGAATGTAAGTTAAATGTGATCTTTGATTTCTAGGAGTGTATCTAGTGGAGGATATATACCACATACAACACACACACACAACTATCAAGTGTACCCTGATACCAGTGGCCAAAATGA